TGACCTTAGAACCTTACTTGACCAACTTGGCCATTAGGAAGTAGTGAGATAGCCGGCTTTGGTGTAGTCCGAAGTTGGTTGATACTCGATGCTACACTCATTGAGACTAGACTTTTGGGATATCTCGGCCGCAAGAAAAGATTAATTGAGCTGAGACAATGCCTAAAAGAAAGGTCAGTGATATTGAGATCCCTTAGAACCCGGTTACTATTAACTAGGACAGGTTGAACCAATCCAACTTCAAGAGGGTATTTACCTACAAACTCCATACAAGTCTAAACCTAAGGACTTGTCTGCTTTGCGTGAATATGATTATTTGTATATAAACTTGCTTATTTTGCATACTTGTACATAACATCATGAAATCATACCATAGCATTGAACCATAGCATTTCAAGGATCTCAAGGGTCTTTGATGCAGGGTCACGTTGAACCAGACATCTATCGTGGGGCAGGAGGATTTATTTTCCTCTAACCAAATGCCGTCAAAAATCAAGTACAACAAACCGGAGTCAAAGGCTACAACCCACTTGACATGGTGAGCTTAATTCTCGTGGAAGGACATACACTGATACAAAGTTCTCCAATCTAAATTGTAAGTGAATATTAACCCCACGAGATCCTTGAAAACATGCATCCACATATCATGCATCATATCATGGCAGGTTTCTCCCATACAGGTTTCCTTATCTTCCTACTGTTTATTTCAGTAGAGATGGCCCTAGAACAGACCATCAAGAGCATTCATATTCAAAACGCTCAACTTCAAGAGATGTTCTTGAACCTGTCCAAGGGGTAAGAAGAGGTCAAGGCGCTCCTCACCAGGGGCATGATCATGGGAAATCCTGGGGATGACAGAGATGACCAATTGGGGCGGCTACAAACCGAGATAGCCGTAATGAAAGTCCAGATGATGGGACAACTGGTGGGCCAGATGGATCTTATCCAAAATCTGGCTCAAGGACAAGAAAAGCTGAGAGTCCTCATCAACAAGCTTCGTTGGGATGGATGTAACCAAATGGGGAAAACATCTAGGATTGGAGATCAAGTCATCATTCAGCATCCTATGAGACAAGAAGCCGGTTTAAGGGAGAGAAGACCTCCCCAATTTTCTTCCACGTCACAAACCCAACAACCACCTCGTCAACAAGGACTGGGTAACCAAAGTAAACAGGTCCCAACTATTAGGCAGTTTACCAAACTCGGCATGCCTATATCACAGGTCTTACAGCACCTGTTAAACTTGAATTTGGTCACATTAAGGGATCCTTCTCGGAATCCCAATACCTCTGCTCCTAACTATCATCCCAATGCATTATGTGCATACCACTCCAATAATCCTGGGCATGATACGAATGACTGTTAGGCTTTGAAAAATAAGATCCAAGACTTGATTGACAGAGGAATGCTGGAGTTCACACAAGATGGCCAGACTGAGTTCTTCTGCCGTCCCTCAAAGGCTCGCCAGCAGAAGTGAAAAATTCAAACAAAGAGGCTTTTGTTTCATTTGAATTTTCAAGTTGTAATTCCTTTTGTTATTCAAACAATTATATATTAATGTCAAACTTTGTTTCATTAATGCATTGCATATGTTTGTCTTGATTTGATCCACTCATTTTCATTACATTTAAACTATGCTTTTTACTCACTTTATGACATTCAACTCTTGCTAAAAGATTACAAGCCTTTAGAGGGAGGATGACGAAAACAATGCCATAATCTCATACAGTATGCTTTTGGACATACCTTGCTAACGATGTACAGACGTTCTTTCAAATCCTAAACACTGGAGTTATAAGGAAGATAATCCCTAGTCAACCCCTTTGAGCCAAAGAAGTAGAAGTTTTCTTTCTTACACAAATTGAAACCTTTAATCAAAACCTGGGGCAGGGTAGTTTCTCAGTTAATTCAAATGCGCGTTAATCCGCAAACTGTCATTTCGTAATACAACGAATGACATCAAAAAAAAACATTCCTCTAGAATCAAAAGACAGTGAGGTTTCCCTACCAAATAGGCAGTCATTATCACTCAAAAAAGAAAATCCCACTAAGTCAAAACCTATGAAGGAGACTTAAAGAAAACGGGGGCATCCCGCTGATTGTAATCTCAAAAACAAGAACAGTCAGATAAAAATCAGGGATAACAACTCAAAAGAAAGAGGTCACTACAAATCCTCAACAAACATGAAAAATTTTGCAAAAATAACTGCCTTCCGACAAACCTAACTTGTATGAACCATCACAAAATGTCATTCCAGACTTAATTGGAGTTCAAACGCGCAATTAACTGAGTTTAGGACTGAAGAACATCACGAAGAACGGGTGGGTACAAATACACTTTGAGCCTTTATCCTTTGTTTCTTAAACCGTGAACCAAGCCACGTTACAACCCTTCAAAAGTCCTAATTGAAGCATGGGTTAGTTCGAAAGCATACTGTTACAAAAGGTATCCTGACTCCTGTAGAGCTTTACTCTAAATCTTGAGTTGAATTTTTCTTACAAAATTTCTTTACTCGCTAAAACGCATTTTCAAAAATTTCAAGACAAACATAAACTTTGCATTACTTGAATATAACTGTTTGCATATGGCTATTTGTTTGACAGCGGAGAAATTCATACAATATCCAGTGAACGAAAGCTCTCTTAGTAAACAAAATCAATTCAAGTAGGATGACACTCCCACTGACAAGTCTCCTATCAACAAGGGGACGTGACATGTCACTATCCAGCACACCTGGGGCAGTCCAGTCAAGATTCCAAGAAATCTCTCAAGAATTGCAGAGTAACCAAGGGCAAGTCTCCATCTCTTTCACTTGGAGCATTTGAGCGTCAATCTCAGCGAAGGGTTACGTACAATCAAACATTTTCTGGCAGTGCCATAAACACTTGCTGCTAGGGGCAATGACAAATCTCCCCAAAATTCTTCTCATAGGATGATTCCCCAACAAGAGTTTAATCTCTAAAAACTTTTTCAACTGAGTCGACTTCAAGAATCCTCGAGGATTTCTGCCAGTGAAGTCGTCGTCTCTCCAACGGACTAAGCAACAGGGTTTATTTCCCCAACAAACAGCAGGATCCCCCAGCTTGAGTTTTCCTCTCTAACTACTACAAATAAAAGGGCCACAACTCCTCTTCCCCAGTAGACTACTCTACAAACCCCAACAAGTTATTGTGAAGCCTGGACCCGACCGGACATCAGTTCAACTTTGATTCCCCAGTAGAGCAACGGACAACTAAGACTCCTGAACTTTTTCCCCAAGCAGGAATCAACACTCTCCACAGAGTTTTCAATATTCCCCAGCAGAGTTCTCCTCAAACAACAAAACAGGAATCCCCGGTGGAAATATTCTAAGCAAAGTTTGAAGACACACAAACTCTTCAATAGCAGTCTAGGATTTAACGACTCCCCGACATTTGTCAGGGATTTATTTTCCCAGAAAAAGATACACTTCAATAAACATTTCACATTTTATACATCCTATTTACATACATGATAAGTGCATACGACACAGTCTCATTTATTTTTTAGAACATCATGACATCATGCATTTCATACATCATGACATTGCATACATCTAACATTTTACCTTTTTCAGGAAAAGGTCAATCAACAGATGGCTACCATCAACCTTTTCAAGTTCCAGATTAATATTTGTAACAAGCCAGGAAAACTATCTGTGGACGACTGATTGTAGATTAATACCTGTAACAAGCCAGGAAAACTATACACATGAAGAGATTGAAGATTAACACCTGTAACAAGCTAGGAAAACTATCTTTCTTTCTCAGGTCAGAGATTAATACCTGAAACCAGACAGGACAACTATCTCATCGACCAACCTTTTCAAGTCACTAGTGCAGAAATGACTTTTTACATCGGGTGAAATTGACTTTTTACATCGGTTCTGGGTCCGATGTAAAGTCAGGCGATATAGTAAATCAGGGACTTTTTACATCGGTTTTGGGACCGATGTAAAAAGTCCCTTTTTTACATCGGTTATAATATCAGAACCGATGTAATAACCTATTATTATGCATATTTTAAAAAAAATTGATCCAGTTTTTTACATCGGTTGGAAGTAATACCCGATGTAAAAAGTCTCTTTTTTACATCGGTTATAATATATGAACCGATGTAAGAAACAGTTATTATGCATATTTTTTTAAAAAATTGATCCAGTTTTTTACATCGGTTAGAAGTAATACCCGATGTAAAAAGTCCCCAGTGACGCGACTTTTTACATCGGTTATTATCCCCAACCGATGTAAAAAGTCCCTTTTTGAAAGTTTTTACATCAGTTTTTACTAATAACCGATGTAAAATGTATGAAATTTTTTTGGAATAGATTATTTATTTTCTGGATGTTTCCCTGTACAAATATAATTTGTACCCATTTTTTCATATTTTTCCAATATCACACAGACTATATTTATGTCGCTATATAGATTTCATAGCTTTCCAACATCACATCTAGGTCGATGTTTTCATATTTTTCACAACAAACTTACAAATTGAACAATTGTATTGCAAACTTGTATTGTATTATAACAAACAAACTTACAATTACAAATTCTTTACAAAATATACAACAATATTCAACTATTTATAAGTCTTTTTTCAAAACTTACAATTACATATTATTCACAAAGTATACAAAAAATATTCAACTATTTATAAGTTTCCAAACTTAAATTACCAATATACAAAAAATATTCAACTATTTATAATATACACTTCCCAGATGTGACACTTACTTGAACATTATGTACTTTTTATACACAGCATCATGCATTGCTCGAACATCCTCATTTTCAATAATGCTCAACTGTTCTCGCAACACTAGTAGGTTTTGGGATATATGGTGGAATATTACATAGAATGAAATAAAATAATTTAGAAGCAGAAGCACCTGTACATTTATTTAAATATGGATTAGCATCATAAAACTAAACATGTTTATTATAAATCTCAAATGCTCCATTCAAAACAGAAAGAAGTTTCAATCGGATTGCATATTATAACGACCATCTAAGAAACTTACTGTGAAGTATGGAACAGAAGCCTTGTAACCAACTAGAGTCAAGTAAAAGACACATGCAAGTGCGGCAGTGGAACGACGTTCATTTAAAGAAAGGTGCTCGCACATTATACAGTAACCATGAGAAATAAGCAAAAAGGAGACAAAAGCAGCTGTCTGAAAGAGCACACCAGTTACATATACACCAAACGACATCCACAAAGAGCATGCCTTGAAATTGAAGCATGAATACCTGCAAAATTGGTGTCACAAATACATTGACAAATGTTCTATCAAACAAGCTTCAAGCATGCCAAGATTTCTTCAGTCTCACACCAGAAAAATCATTTGCAACCCAACATGAATGCATTTGAGATTACCTTAATCTCTATCAATAACTATCATATCCTAATACATGCAAACAGAACCTTGATTTATCAAATAATCCTAATCAAATTTCAAATCTTTGTTTTTATTTTTGTAAGGCTAATATCTCCTTGTTTGAACTAGGGATGTCAGTTTGGACCTGTTAATGGGGATCCCCGTGGGGAACGCCCCGTTCGGGGCCCCAAAGATGGGGAATTTTCCCCCGTGGGGGCGGGGATGGGGAGAAAAATTCCCCCGAGAGCATTTCGGGGACGGGGACGGGGAATACACCCCCCGCCCCGCCTATTATTTTAATATAGTTAATTTAATATATATATTTTAGATTAGGTTTTTTAGTCATTTCCTTTATGTTTATTTATAAAAATAAATAAATAAATATTCGAATGTGTGGATGAAGATATGGATGATGATGATGATGATAATAATAAGGTAATTTACATATTAGTGTTGATTACCTTTTAGTTTTTAAAGTATTTTTTTAAGTAAATATAATTATTGATTGTTTACTTTTCGTAGGAAAAAGAAAGTCATATCTAATTGTGGAATGAGGAAGAAGACCTTGCAATGAGAAGTTGGAAAGAGAGACATGATTGATCATTACTTGTTTGGATATTTTGCTTAATATTTTAGTTTATTTATATGTAACTTTGTTTTAAGTATTTTGATATTTCTACTTTACGTGTGTTATCAATTGAGCAAATAGAGATATGTTGACTTTTGCTTTTAGTTGACTTATTATGAAGTATTTTTTAGCTTTTCAAGCATACTCATGATGCTAAATTTTATAATTATCCCTTATTAGTTTTGATGAAGTATAGTTTTTTAAGCATAATTATGTTGTTGGATTTTTTTAGTTGTTTAGGCATATTGTTACTTTAAAAAGTATTATAGTTCATTTTGTTGAATTTTATAGCATTTTATAGAAATTTATAAAAAAAATATTATTATTTTGTGTTCCATTAGTATTTTTAATAAAAAATAATAAATGTCAAATACTAGTATTTTTTAATAACATAATAAATATGTGAATTCTTTGTGCTTTTTATTTTTATAGAAAATATAAACATTTTAAAAAAATAAAATATTAATGAATAAATGTAGGATCTATGGGGATCCCCGCGGGGAACGGGGATGGGGATAGAAATTCCCCCGTGACGGAGATCGGGGACGGGGACGGGGAATGAATTTGATGGCGGGGAAAAAGATGGGGAAGTGTCCCCCCGGCCCCGCCCCGCCCCATTGACATCCCTAGTTTGAACTATGCGAAAGATGATACAATGTTATCCTAGTAAATATAAAAAATATAAAAAATCTTAGACTATAAAGCTAAAAATCCAATTCATATTCAACAAGCCAATAAACAAGGTCTGAAACTTACCAGAAGAGGAAAGATAGCATGAGCTGCAATGCTTTAATCAACGGAATCAAACTAAGTGTCCACTGCAAATTATTCCACTGCTCTAGCAAAACAATATAACAAAAATGAATAAACAGTTTCAAAATATTATCAAAAAACCACCTGCTTCAAAATCAAAGTATATATTAAGAATACTATGGCCATAATGGGATTAACAACTTCATAAATTCAGATGATGTATACATTTGTAAAAAAATAAGTTAAAATATAATCAATATTATACAGAAATAGCATGCAACGGACAACAAGTTGTGCCGCTACCCCTTATAACATAAAATCAAAATTAAAGTCTCATAAACTATAAGCCGTTTTCATAAGTTTTCTTTGAAGAGTATATAAACATAATCTGAAAATAGCTTATAGATATAATTAGACACGCCATGCCATAAACCATTTTCATAAACTCTTTTGAAAAATTGTCCATAGATTAGATCAAATAAGTTTATTTATGTGCCTGTAAACCTCAAAGTAGCAAAAATTACAGGCAATATAGTTAAATTGACATTTTTTAATCCAAAATTACTCCTATTTTATTCCTGTTTTTCAAATTATTACTGGTGTTAACTTGTCGGTGTTGATGTCAATGTGTCGGTGTCGGTGTCACTTTTCCGGTGGCTGTTATTCATAGATGCAGAATGATTAGAAGAAACTATTATTAAGAAACGAAAACCAAATTACCATATTTAACAACAACAATTTGATACTGATGCCATGGCCAATCTATGGACAAAAATATCCATTTACAAACATAGTATAATCAAGCAATTCATCAAACACTTGGCGGGCAGAATACAATCAACAGAACTAAGCTATATGTAATGCTTACTATGGGTATAACTTTTGAAGAAGAAGATATGAGGCTAATTATAGAGAAACAATGTCTATGATAAAATTAAATCTATCAGATAAGAATGAAACAAACCTTCTTCAAGTTCATTGGAGGCAGTGAAAAGTGAAAGAGTTGTCGTCTTGTTCATCGTATTGAGGGAGAGGTTCCATGAAAGTGATTCGAGGCGGCCGAGCCTGGGCAGCTGCCCTAGCTGGCCGGACGCTGGCTCCGCCAGTGAGTGGCAGTATAGAGTATCAGAACTTAACAAACCACTAAAGTTTATGACACGTGATTTAGTACAAAATGTTGTCAAATTCAAATAGCAGATATACAATTTAGCCTAGCAGAATTAGAACAAACTTTCTGTTGATAATACGAGTAAGAAATAGACTACTCTTCAATCTTAAATTCTAAATCTTGAAATGCTTAATGAGATAATGCAAACAAAGTAAGCTAAGAATCATGATTCATGAGAATTAACATAGAAAAAATGAAATAGAACAATGAAATAGTGAAAACCTTGTTGGATCTCCATGACTAGCCAACCAAGGCTCCACCACTGAAGCACCAAAAGAATCAACAATATGCCTATGATTATCCTTGTTAAACTCCCCACCACCACCACCACCATGGCTTCCTCCACCAACCCCCATAGATTTACTACACTCGGCCAAATTCTCCTGCTTGGCCAACCAATTCAACACCTTCAACCCATCCTCAAACGCAGCCGGATACCTACTCTCCGGCGCCAACCTATAGCCAACCGCAACGACAATCACATCACAAAGCTTGGCGATCCGCCGACAAAACAAATCATTCGCCACCGAATCATTACTACCACTAACCCACCCCCCACCATGAAACTGCAACATCACTGGTAATTTCCTCCGCCGATTATCCAACGCCAGCGAGTAACCACGGTACAAACCGGCACCGGTTTCAACACCAGCGCCCATCAAATTCAAACCCTCAACAGCGTTACTATTCCTCCCTCGGAGCTTCTCTTCCCTGAACGGAGGACCATAGCTACTTCTCCGTACATATCCAGGTTCGAGAGCTTGTTGTTTAGGTTTGGAGTTAGGTTTGGAATGAGGCTCAGGAGGAGAAAGAGCGGAGTGAGGAAGAAAGATTCGGATAGAGAGAGAAGTGAAAGGATCGATGTGGATATCCTTGGTGGCGACGTCGTCGGTAAAAGAAGGGTTAGAGTTAGCGACGGATTCTTCGGGTCGTGAAGTGATACCAAACGAGTTGGAGTTATTGTCGGGTTGGGCTTGAATCCGGTTTTGTAAACGGTGCTTCAAGAGGAACTTAAAGAATATGCTGTAGAGTTTTACAGCCACACTTGGCATTTCTCAGGGAAGGAACTCCAATTTTGAGTTTTGGATAATAATGATAATAGTATGGTTTTTCTTTTAGGAATGGGAAGTGGGGAAATTGAAGTTGAAGTTTAGAAGATTGGGAATAGGGTTTATGAAAAGGAGAAATTGGTTTGGAGGATGATGGAGTGAGGTGAGAGATAAGAGATGGGTTTGGTGATTTGCTTTAGATACAGCTTTTTTTTTTTACAATGCACCTATTACATCGGTGCATGTAATACCCGATGTAAGGGTTGACAAGCTTTTTTTTGACTTTTTTTTCCAATACACCTATTACATCGGTGCATTGTAATACCCGATGTAATAAGTTACAAAAAAATTAATTTATTCTTTAATTTATTTTTTATATTAATATCTGTTGTGAAGATATTACATCGGTGTTTAGTCAACCGATGTAATATGTTGCATGTTTTTTATTAATATTTCTACTACCTTGTTTCTTATTTACAAAAATGCCACCGTATTTTTTTCTGAAAACTTTTTACATCGGTGGATGCGTTTGCCCGATGTAATAGGTAGCGAAATATATATTTTTTCATATTTTTTATATCATTGCAAATAAATACCTGATGTAAAAAGTTTGTTAATTGTATTTTTTACATCATATATTTTGATACCCGGTGTAAAAACCTTTTCTCAAATGTCTTTTTTTTAGTAGTGAGTTCCAGATTAATACCTGTAACAAGCCAGGAAAACTATCTGTGGACGACTGATTATAGATTAATACCTGTAACAAGCCAGGAAAACTATCTACATGAAGAGATTGAAGATTAACACCTGTAACAAGCCAGGAAAACTATCTTTCTTTCTCAGGTCAGAGATTAATACCTGAAACCAGACAGGACAACTATCTCATCAACCAACCTTTTCAAGTGCCAGATTAATACCTGTAACAAGCCAGGAAAACTATATGTGGACGATTGATTATAGATTAATACGTGTAACAAGCCAGGAAAACTATTTACATGAATAGATTGAAGATTAACACCTGTAACAAGCCAGGAAAACTATCATTCTTTCTCAGGTCAGAGATTAATACCTGAAACCAGACAGGACAACTATCTCATCGACCAACCTTTTCAAGTTCCAGATTAATACCTGTAACAAGCCAGGAAAACTATCTATGGACGACTGATTATAGATTAATACCTGTAACAAGCCAGGAAAACTATCTACATGAAGAGATTGAAGATTAACACCTGTAACAAGCCATGAAAACTATCTTTCTTTCTCAGGTCAGAGATTAATACCTGAAACCAGACAGGATAACTATCTCATTGACCAACCTTTTCAAGTTCCAGATTAATACCTGTAACAAGCAAGGAAAACTATCTGTGGACGACTGATTGTAGATTAATACCTGTAATAAGCTAGGAAAATTATCTACATGAAGAGATTGAAGATTAACACTTGTAACAAGCCAGGAAAACTATCTTTCTTTCTCAGGTCAAAGATTAATACTTGAAATCAAACAGGACGACTATTTACTTGACCAACTGAAGCAACCCTACCCAGGTTCCTTCTCATTTCCGAGATGTAGTTTTACACGGAATCATCATCAAGCAACCCTACACAGGTTCCTCCTCTTTCTAAGATGCAGTTTTACACTGACTCATCATCAGGCCACCCTACACAGGTTCCTCCTCTTTCCAAGATGCAATTTTACACAGACTCATCATGAAGCAACCCTACCCGGGATCCTTCTCACTTCCAGATGCATTTTTACACAGACTCATCATGAAGCAACCCTACCCAGGTTCCTTCTCACTTCCGGATGAAGTATTACATGGACTCATCATTGAAGCAACCCTACCCAAGTTCCTTCTCACTTTCAGATACAGTTCAGATACGCTCCAGACACGGACGCCATTCTGATAATCATTCAGTTCCAACTTACAGATACAGTTCAGCAATCATTTCTGGATGGCACCTTTAAGCCCATCTCCAACAACTATCCATTATCTCTCTAAATGGCATCTTTAAGCCCATTCCCTACATAATCAACTAACAAATCTTCGAGTACAAATTATTGGGCACTCTAGTGTTCAATCATCTTCCACCTTCAAGTCACGAATGGCAAATCCGCCAATCTAACTCTTCAGGTTTAAGAAGATTGAACAGGGGCAGTTGTTGCACCCCAAAATTTTCCCTCTCATTTCTCAAAGAATCACCCTGGATCCTCAAGTTTGCTTCCATCCAATTCCAAGCCTTGAACTATAAATTTTCCAACAAAATCACTCACAAGGGCAAAATGGTCATTTGCACACTGAAAAGTCAAACTTTGACTTTTTGATCAAAATCAAATTTCAAGAATCATATTTCATCAGGACATGTTGAAATATGAAGTTTGTTTCATCAAGAAATTCAAAAGTCAAAACTACTCTGGAGAAGTCAAAATTCTAAATACTTAGAATTGTTTCTAAGTGTTTAAGAAAATATGACAAGCTCAGAACTTCTGGCCATATTTTCACCATGATGCAAGTTGATTCTGGAAGAACTTCTGATTCAATAGTTATAGATTTCAATGAGATCTAAAACATTGCAGAACCAAACTTCTCCTAGAAATGCTGGGATTTCAAGTTATAACTTCTCAAAGACACGTCCTTGAAACTGGAATACTCAGCAAATTCTGGACACTTTCAAGACAGAGTTTGGTCAGAACTTCTGGGTAAGTTTTCACAAAGGTCCAGTCAGAGTTTTCTAGTGTAATTCAAAGAAGGTTAAGAAGCGTGTTGCAAGCTCCCTAGAAAGTCTGAGAGCTCTTTCAGAACATGTTGGAGCAAGGAGATACAAAGATCAGAGGTTGGATGTTATGCTGAAGCTGGACTTTTGATCCAGAACTAAGCAATGATGCAGAATATCACGTTGCAGGATTCCTGGGTTGATCAATCTCATCATCATTTAATGCTCACAATCACTTTTGAGTCTTTATCCAAGGGATTTCCTCCACGTGTACCTCTACTGTCTTTGGATAGCAAACTTTGGTGCAAAAGTGTGCTAGGCCCATGTGTTGCTTTTGCTTTTCCTTAATTCCTGCTGACAAATCCAGCTTAAGTATGACTAAAAGTTGCAAACCACCATGCTTGCTTCAAGAACAAGGCAGCGCTTTAGCATATGAAGGCTATATTCAACGCTTTGGTCAGAACTTGACCAAATCCCAAAACCTTGTTTATACAACCCGCTGCAGACCTATAACCAACAACTAATTCAGCCTATGCATGCATCCCATAATTGCACCAAACTAGCATACGAAGACTGTGATCAAAAGGCAAGGGAACAAGATGACAAAAAGGTTAAAATCCCATTTGTTTTTCCCCCCAAAATCACAACAAATCCACCTATAAATAAGTTGCCCCATCACACTTTCAACCGGGGGGCTGGATGGCTTTTGGGGAGAGATTAGCCAAAAGAGAGAAAAGAAAATGGTGATACCTTCATTAAAAATCCAGAATTCCCAAACAGAAAACCAAAACCTTTGTTCTTCCCTTGAAGTAAAAGAATTTGGTATTTTCTCCTCCGTTGCTCTTGCTGATTCCAGAATACCTGAAGGGAGCAGCTCAAGTTCCAAATACACCCTCTAGGTTCAAGGTAAGTCATTTTGACTCTACATCTTTTCATCCAGAACATCATTAAACATGTAGATATCATAGTATTGATGTTGTCTGTATCACTATGTAAGTAGAAAGACTGTGGATCAGAACTTCCTGATTAAGGCTAGACTCAGGATCAGAATCATAACTTCTATAATCTGTTATGCTTTTATCCTTCTGATTTGTCGTTTGTTGAAAACTGAATAAGTTATCGTTGTGCTGATTAATAAGAGAAAAGAGTTGAAATGTAACACCTAACTTCTGAGTTCTCTTCACCATTTTAACACACAGAACTTATAGGATTTTCTCACTGTTTAAGCACACAGAACTTCTGAGTTCTCCTCACTGTTTTAACACACAAAAATTCTATGATTTTATCACTTTTCAAACGTACTGAACTGCTGATGTTCACTCATTGTTTTAACACTTAGAACTTCTGATTCTTACATGCTGATAACGCACTGAATTGCTAATGTTTATTCACTGTTTTAGCATAACACAAAACTTATGACTTTTGAATAACTGTCTGGACACCCTCCAGAACCTCTGTGTTTTCCTTCTAACGTGTCTTGCAGGACCTCAGAGTGTACCAATCCAGAACTTCTGATTCCATTGACGTTCCTTTCTGAGTTATCACGCGCCTGGCCTCAGAACTTCTGATCCTTTTTTATTTTGCTTGCAGTAGCACGTTGTTTCTGTCTTTCATTTATTTCCCTTTTCATCATTTTTAATATTAACACAAAAGGACATAAAAATATTTTCTTTCATTAATTAATTTATTTCTTTTTTCATTAAGACAAAAACATTTTCTAAACAAGTCCTTTTTCTTTCTTGTATTGTAAATTTCAATATGGTTGTAATAGTAACTTAGGATTTAATTTTATTTGCAACCCCTATTCATAAATATGTACCCCCACCCCTAAAATATTGTAATAGCGTAGGACTTTACATTTCAGCAATTTATCACTTTCGAATGTAAATACTAGTAATTAGGGTGTGTATGGCAAGACATGAAATTGACAAATAGATCACCCTAATCAAGACTAAAATGCATGCAATCAAAAACACTTGCACACTAGAACCCTTAGGGTAATCTCACTTGTTACCTATCGGAAAAATAGTCATATCCCTCGAACATGGGCGTTTTAGCAAAGACTCTCGATAAAAGATCGTAGTCCCTCGATGACCCTCAATGTTTCCTTCGGTAAACGATCTAGTCCCTAAAAACGACATTGCTAAAACGTCCCATAGGTTTCCTTCTATGACTATACAAATGCCCCAACGCTCGTCCCTTCACATCCAACGATGGGGCTTCTCACTAAAACAATAGTAAGATAGCAACATCTAAAGGAGGAGGAAAAGAACAATTAAGACCTTTTGAGT